TCGGCTGAAGCCGGTGTTCTAAAAATTTCCCCATTTTAAGAATAGGGAATTTAAACTCCAAGAATCCCCAAGCTGGAAATTTCTGGGAGTTGAAGTCCACTCATCTTAAAGTGGCCAAGTTTGGACAACACTGGCTTAAACCCTTACCTCAAAGGAATCTTCCTTGAAGTGCAGCAAATCTGGATGGTTGGTGTGCAGGAAATACACCCGCCTAGATGGGTAGGAGTTGGTGTAGGTGATCTTCTTGTTCGAGCCTTTCCCACCCCCAGAAGGGAGGGCGATTTCAAATGCCTGGCGGTAGCAAAAGGACAGTGGGTGCCCCAAATTATTCTGTGGCCAGCCAGCTGAATGGTCAGGGTCCCCTTGCTTTTCGCTTTGAGAAAGCGGTAACCCGGGGGCTGTGGAGAGGGCCCGCAAAACACCATGAGGAGCATCTGGAGGGATTCAATGTTTGCCCCCTGCCCTGATTAAACTGCCCACCTCCCCACCGGCTGCTCTTGGCTCCAGTGGCTGCAGAGGTGCTGAGCACAAACCCCTTGGCCAGTTCACTCAACCCCCAGCAGCTCTCATTCGGGGTGAGAGTGGGGTGCACTGGGGATGGTGGAAGGAGGTGGCTGGAGGGACCCCCAAGGAGACAAGGTGGAAATCGGGAAAGGGAAAGACGAGGAAGCAGAGTTCAAGCAGGGAATCCCTGCAGATATATCCGGAGGCCGTTTGCAGCAAGGTCATTCCGTGCAACATGGTGCCGCATTGGGGAGGGAACCCCTAACGATCAGCAGGCAAGGGAAATAAACGCCGCCCGGGTCCTGGCCTTGCTGCACCGGGTCTGTCCCCAGCACCAAAGTTTGGGGAAGACGACACCCTGCAGAAGCCCCCGACGGATTACCTTGGAGATGAACGGCTGCCGGCAGGACGCAGACACCACCCAGGAGCAGACCAGCTGGTGAAATTCCACATCCACCAGGTTGAGGTAGATGAAGCGGCTGCCGGCGCTCTGAGGCCTCAATCCGAGGTGCAGGTCCTGGACCCCGTTAGCCGGGAGGACGAAGACCCCTTCCGGCTCCAGCTGGCAGAGGGGGGAAGAGAGAAGACGGATCCCAGCCCTGTGACTCCAGGGGGCCCGGAAAACCGCCCTGCGTTTTGTTTCTTCCGGGACCCACATCTCTCATAGGTGTTAAACTTGCTGGGAAATGGAAGCAGCTTCCATGGGAGACAGAAGAAAATGGCTTTTCTGGAAGGCGGGCATGAGATGGTGACTGCATTCAGCCAGGGGTGACCCAGTGAGGGCCATATTAACCCGTTTGCATTGACTCAATGGTAAAACGTGGGTGCATTGTCCATCTCTTGCCCACCTTCTGTCTGGCTGTACAATCAGTCCAAGGTAGAACCTCTCAGCTTGGGTCTGCTTGTCAAGCAGTGTTTCTCAACCCTGGCCACTTTAAGACGGGTGGACTACAACTCCCAGAATTCCATGGCTGGCTGGGGAATTCTGGGAGTTGAAGTTTGCCCGTTTTGAAGTGGCCAAGGTTGAGAAACGCTGCTCTAGAGGATACACAGATTTATATTTGTAGTCCAAAGCCATTAAATGAGGAACATAAGCAAATTGAAATGCCCAGCGCAAAAACTGAATCACCAAGGAGTCTTTTGCTATTAGCTTCAGATGCACAAAATGGGCTTTCGTCCAAGAAAGCAAATGCTAGGGTGAATTTGTTAGCATTTAAACCCTGGGAGTTCCCTCCTCTGCTGCTTTTGCTACAGTTGACTTATCAGGGACCCTTTTTGCCCCCGGGAGCATTTTTGGGCTCCGATTCCTCGTCTGCAGGCTTCGAAGTTCGAGAAGCAAGAAGAGCAGAAGAGGCCAAAAAAAAATCTGCATTTCTCACCTGCATTTAGTGGCGAGGTCCTGAAATAACCATCATCAACCTGTCCTTGCTCTGTTTTATATAATACACACTTGCTCTGTTTCATATGTAAAGCAAGCTGGCTGGGGAATTCTGGGAGTTGAAGTCCACCCCCCTTCAAGTCGTCAAGGCTGAGAAACGCAGCTTGACAAGCAGGCCCTCCCCTACTCCATCACCATTCCCTACACTCCCTTCATATCCTTCCCACCGTGTTGCCCTCATACGGTGCTGGGACTCCATTTCTCAGCCAGGATGGCCAAAGAAATCCTGGGAGCTGTAGTCCTCAACTCATGATCCAGAACAGAGATGGGGAAAATCAGGCCTCCAAATTGAGTCAACTTCCTAGTTAAGCCAGGGCTGGACTCCAAATTAAAACATTTCTGGCAGATGCCCATCCAACCTTTGCTCAAATACCTTCCAAAATAACATGCCCTCCCACAGACTAATAATGCTTGGACTGTAATGAATGTCTGAGTCTTTAAGCTTGACCACAAAGCTCTGTGTTTTAGCTGGAACAGGCCAACCTGGACGCCTGACAGACCGAATTTTGTTCGCGCTGCTGTTTTCTGATGGCCTCGTGGTTCCCCAAGTTTTGAACGTTTTCTCCCGTATGGGAGGGTAATAAAGTTTGTGTTTCTCTTTATTATTCACATTTATAATTACGACTAAACGTACTCTAACGAAATCATTTCTCCCCAGATAGCCTCGTTAATTCAGAGAGCTGGCCCAGCCGAGTTTAGGGCCGCTGATCTCTCTATGGGATGGTTTTAATCAAAAGACAATTACGGGGCAGCTTTGCCACAACAAATCCTTAACAGATTCTTGCATCAAAGTGGATGGCCTTTTGAACAGAGAGGACCCTTCAAAGTCATCTGCAAACTCTGAACCCAAATCCCCTGCAAATTACCAGTGATGCTTTTGTACTGAGTTTAGTCAACCTCCCCGCTTAATATTTCAGCAATTGCTCATGAAAAGATTTGTCTATTTCTCTTTCTCTCTCGGCAACTTTTATTTATCCCTAGTTTACTATGAAATGTATTTCCAAGCCCAAGTTAGCCCGAACTCAAACCCCATCGCTCTCCGAACCGCTATCGCTCCAGAACAGCGGAGAGGAGACATACACTGTCGGCTTGCATCAAAGCCGAAAGCTGGCGGAAAATAAATCCTGATTTATAGCAATGATCATGAAGACACGAATGAAGGGACGTTCTGTGTGAAGGTCACCTGGCAGTAATGTGTGTCCTTGGTCGTTGTGAGATCCCTAATTGGCTAGGACTAACCTCATGCAGAAAAGATCCACCTCAGAGATGCAGAAGTTGGCCTGCTTTCCAGGTCTACAGAGAAAATCCTTCTCTGTATTCCAGAGACAGAAAAGACGCAATTGTTTGGAGTGCAGGAGAAGGTCTGAATTTAAACTGTGAGATTCCCTTTCTTAGAATATTGGCCTGATTCTTCTCCTTTCACCTTCAGTCAAGACGAAGGATTAATTTTCCCTTGATGAAAAGACGGCAAGGTGAGTTGAGATGCTTCTGCAAACGGATTTTTTTTCTTTTCTGTTTCTCTGCCTCAGATTTTGAAAGTTTTAAGGTAGTTTAATCGATACTTTCTATGTATATACTTTTTATCATAAGCAGCTTCTAGCATTATGATGCAGTAGCCAAGATGGGGTAAACATTTTATTATAAATTGCACCAGGGGAGCAAATGAGAAGAATGTTGAACCGATTCAAAAAAATAAATGTATTTTTCAGGAGATATTTCTCCTGAAATATTTTCAGGAGATATTTCGCCTCCACAAAACCTTCTTCCCATGGGAAAAAAAAATATTTACAATACAAAAACATTGTAAACAGGTACAATCATATCTGTATTTAACTGCAAACAGGCAGCACTAAATTGATGCCTTGCCACTATTCCAGAAATTTGTGGGTACAATTTTTTACACTACATTAGAAATGATTCATTTCATGTTCCTTTAATGGTGTTACCAAATTTAGCTTTGGTAAGAAACTAAGCAGTTGCCTCAATTCCAACTTCTCAGGGAAAAAAGGGAACAGTTCACACTGAAACTTTGCATCACTTATTTCGATTCTCTAGGTGTAGAGAAACTCCAGAAAAATCTTTGTTTTAAAGGGCAAATTTTACTGTACAGGTAGTCCCCAGTTTAAGAACTAGTTCCATTCCCAAAGTCTGTCCTTAACTCGAATTTGTACGTAAGCCGGAACAGTATTATTGTATAATACGGTATAAGTAGGATTGTGTAACCAACTTGACCCATTATTTAACTCGAATCATTGTGTATTTAACTCAAATTTTGCTACAACAGGCTCCGTTCTTAACTATGAGTTGTCCGTAAACTGGGCATTCTTAGCCCGGGGACTACCTGTAATTGCTACTATAATCAAAGGCAGCTACGGCACTTGTGAAAATAATCTCATCTCTTCAGCTGTTAGCTATTCCAGGCTCATCCTCTTCGCTACCCATTTGGGGAAAGAGTGTTGTGACAACCATCCACTAGTTCCCAACTCAGACAATTCAGGAAAACCGCATCTGCGAGCCAGGCTCAGGGAGACCCTTACCTTCATCTCTTGTGGGTGGGAGCTAAAGGCCTTCACCTTGCGGGTCGCGTGCGTCCCTCGGAGCACCAACGAGAGCCGTGTCAGTTGCCCCAGGATGCAACTGGCCTCGACCCACTGCAGACAGTGGAGGTAGAACTGCCAGGTCTGGATAGGAGTGGCCAGCCAGGGGTCTCTGCAGAAAGGAAGAGAACGACAAAGGGCCTTGAGAAGCAGAAAGGAGTCATTTGAGGACATCTCCCCCCACTGAGGCCACTGTCAAGAAGAACAGCACCTAGCAGGCAGCAAAACATGAATTGCAAAGGAACCAAATTTGCAATCGATCAATCAATCAATCAATCAAAAATGTCCCGATATTTCCCCTCTACCCTAAAGTGATCTACATTCCAGAAGCTGTTTCCTGAAGGACTATAGAATCACGTAAACCATCAGCTGTCAATTCACAGATCGAAACATCAGCACAGATAGGAGGAAAGCGTTTGGGGGTTCTTAATACAGGCCCCATCGGGGCCAAAGCAGCTTCTAACGGGCAGGGGAGCAGAACAGGCACCCAGGCAGAGAAGGAAGAGAATTCTACAGCTTCGTAAGTTTGAGTCTGGCTTTCTTCTCCTGGGTTCTGGGTCTCTGGCTGTAACAAATAAAAATTAAATAATAATTTAAAAAAAACACTATCAACAGCACTGCTTAAGATTTTGATCTCCTTCGGGCCGAAACCCAACTTTCAACTGCCAAGTTCCTGGCAAGAGAATGATGGGTGGAAGGTAGGCAGCAATGCTATCTTAGTAACACCCACAACATTCAGAGACAACATCAGAAACCGCCAATCATGAGTGAAGCAGCTCCCTGATTTTTTTTTTTTTTTTCTTCCCTAAAAGCAAGAAACTTGACTAGTCCTTCTCCATGAATTTTACAAGGTTCGTCAAGCAAGCTGCGGAGAGTCACCAAGGTGACCTTGGAGAAGGAACGGGATGGCAAAAATGTGATTTAAGCCCAGAAAAGGAAGAGAATGCTAGAAAGAAACGCAAGCTTAAACTGGTTCTAGTCTCTTTGGTATAAGAGAGAGGGAGGGAAAATGAGGTCCAACTTTCAAGATTCTGTCATTATAAAATAGAGTTTTAGGATTTCTTGCAGTGTCTGTTTCCTGACTTGAAAGGCTGACCCAAGCCTCTTTGGCTGCTATCAATGGTCTGGTTCACATAAGGATGTTGAACGAGAAGACAGTTTGTCCTATTTTGGCTTAGCTCAAGGGTGGTTTTGAACCCCAGGCTGATGGTTTAGCATGGGGTGAGATGCCAACCCCGTCAGCTCAATAAACCAGGGTAAAAGTAAATCTTAGCTTCATGCAAAACTTTGGGGTACAGCAAGCAGCCGCATAAATGGTAAATTAATCTGCATGCTCTCTTCGGGCAAATGAATACAGGTAATGATGTCACTGGTGTTAGGGATAGGCAAGAAAAAAAAATATACCATTTACTTTAATAATCTGTATACTACTAAAACTCTCACTGTGTTTATCTGTTTGTCTGTATCCTCACGTTAGCCCAAACGGTGCATTATACTGCAAAAATTTTTGAATCAAGGTACCTAAAATCCGCTAAATTAAAGAATGCATAAAAAATCGGGGACCTGTTACTCCTGCAGAACTGAAACGTCCATGGTGCTCAGACCAGTTTGATTCACAAAGTTGTGGCCGTTGCAACATCCCCACGGTCATGTGATCGTGATTCCGACGCTCCCTGCCAGCTTCCCACAAGCAAAGTCAATGGGGAAACCAGCAGGAAGTCAAAAGTCGCTCCTGCTCTCACTCCTGCTTTTTGGCCCGCCCGTGGTCATTCTGTTTCTCTAAGTAAGTACATATTGACTTATTATTGAAGTTTGTTTGCCATTACAATCATTTTTCTATTTCTGATATATACCAGTGTTTCTCACCCTTGGCAACTTGAAGATGTGTGGACTCCAACTCCCAGAATGTCAAAAAAGAAGGAATCCAAATTTTCACATCATATATGCTCTCATGTTATGTTGAATTTAGGGGGTTTAAAAAGGGCAGTATTTCTCAGCCTTGGCAACCTGAAGATCTTCAAGCTGCTAAGGCTGAGAAACACTGATACGTACTCTTCTTAGATGATCATGGGACCGTCCAGCATTGGGTAAAAAAAATACAGTCAGCCTAAAATGTAATGTTCATTCTGGTGACATCAGACCGCCCTTCCTCTCTCTCAGAGGATGACCCAGCAGGTCACAGTGTAGTCTAGTTAAATTTAAATCTCACCCACCATTTAATACACACAGATTAGCCAGCTTTGTTGCAACAAGCCTGATTCTTTGTATCATAACCCTGGAGAGCCAGCCCCCTTTCAGCACGTTGCACTTACGTGTAAATCAACACAAAGAACCTCTGAATGTGTGGACTCGGACCTGCGGCGACTTTCAAAAAGATATCCTGTGGCTCCCCGGGTCCCTGGGTGAGAATACCAAGACCAGATTTAAAGTCACAGCCTTCTGGATGCGATGGAACTAACGCTCCCGAGCTTCTAATTCCAAAATCCCAACTGTGCTGGCTATGAATTCGAGGAGTTATGGTCCCCAAAGACCCAGATGCACGGGGTTGTGGGGACAGCTAAATCCACACTGACAGACATTGCTCTTCCAAGTTCTTGGACAGATCCCACCAAGACATGCATGGAGACACTACAGGCTGAATCCATGAACTAAGTTAACACCAAGCTGGTTCTCCTCCCCTGCCCTTTGCTCTGGCATCTAGAATGGCTGGGTTTTGATAAGGGTAAGACTAGGCATCGCCCATCCTCAGTGGAGACTACCTGCTGGGTCTCTGCATGACGCTATGCTCTGGAGATGCCTACAGAGAGTTCTGGGATACACATTCATGCCCGCAACATAGGCACATTGAGCTGAGTCTGATCTGCACCTTTAAAACTGAATCCACTCCTCTCCCTTTATCAAATACAATTTCAAGGGAATATCAGCCTCGACAAGGTCACTGTCTGTCAGCAGACTGAAGAAAAAAATTCTCCTATTTGGGGTTTACATTTGAGGAAGCAAAACAGCCAATTTCACAGACAGAAGCCCAAACCCTCTCTCTTTCTTATGGCCATCTCCTTTCCCCAGAACCCTTTGGAGTAATGTAATATAAGGATATCAGGTATCTTTTATCCCAAGTTTTAGAAAACGACATTGCTGCATTCACACAACCGGTTCTGAGTTAAAGTGAGGGTTTTGTTCACAGGCCGGATCAAGGCAATGGGAAACTACGCAATTGCATTTTAGCGTGCTGTAGTCTGTTCCCTCCACAGGCTCTGCTTCCTGCCCTGATCGCTTGCACCAACCGCGCCCACAAAGCTTGTCGCGGCCAACGTTACCATCTTCTTGGTTTCACAGATGACGTTGGGGTCGCTACAGCGCACAAACATCTCTGGTTCTCCCCCAGGAACACCTACGGGCACCCCTGCCAAGGATAAACAGGAGGCTCTTATTAGCTATAGATCTCCTAGGACTTGGAATCAAACATCCCTCTTTGTATCAATGACAGCATTATGACCTGCTCAACTAAAAACCTAACTATGGCCTACTTCTAAAAAAATAGCAAGTAAATCCACTGGAGAAAGAATCTCTTGAGGTGACCAGCCCACAGGGGGCTAAATCTACAGGCCTTCCAGGAGCAAGGAGCAATGAATCCCCACCTTCCAGCTGCTTCCATTTGTCCATCGGATACCCTTCCAAGACCAATTCCGCCTAGCAACCAACCTTCTAACAGATGAGCGTGTTTCTCCAGTTTCACCCAGGACTGGTTTCTTAAGACCATCAGCAACTCTGCAAGTTTCAGGCAGGGAAACATCTTCTAACCCTTTTAAGCAAAGGCTGAGCAGTGAACACCCGCCCCCCCCCCGTGTTTCTGCCTCCTAGCTCTTGTTCCATTGGATGAAGCAGAAATTGCTTAAATTGCAGTGACATTTTCGCAGGTTGGATGTGGGGTTCTTGCCTCTACAGTGACAAGAGGTGTGTGTGAATGTCCTGCCTTTTCTTGAAGAATCCGCTCTCCAGCCAGCTGTAGTTTCCCCAGTCCTCTCTTGAGAAATGGTTGAAGACAGGAGGAATATGGGGAAAATCACCCACCTTGTTGTTCTGGGATGGGAGGATTTCAAAAGTTTAGATGTGGAGGGAAGAGGGAATGGCCTTGAAGGACTGGAGGAAGGAGCCGCCACCAAGGCAATGGTTAAATAAGAGGGCCTTGAGCCTGGGCCGAGAAAGTAACATGAGAAAACGTCTCAGGCAAGCCCCTCCCTAGTTCACACGAAGATAAAGGGAGGGAGGGGAGAAGCACACGCAGACTTGCAAGATTCTGTTATTAGAGCTTCACAATAAAAGTAGTCCTGACGTACATGACTAGTCTAGTCTACTTTGCTGAGCTGACATCAGCTCTGCTTTTCACTCTCAAGATGTGATGAATCCAAGGCCTGGTACGTTTTATCCCCGCATTTCACTTTCTGCAAACTAGACAGCTGCCAACCCTCTTTTATTCACAGCCTGAGCTGTCTTAACCACATTAAACCAAGGCAGAGTCAACATTCCAGCCCACACGCAGGTTCAAGGGTTCAAAGGGGAATCTTGTTGTGCGTCAAAAAGAACTTCGTGAGTTCCACCATCTCATCTTCTGTTTTTAACCTTCACTTTTGTTTTTATTTCATTCTCCGTTTGTTCATATTGTTTGACACAAGTTCCGAGTTTATACTCCAGCTTTAGACCCACCAGGGATGTTTCAACGCTTTCATACTGCATGAGCCATCAAGAACCACCCGATTGTGGCAGGATGTAAATGTTAGGGCCAACTGCAACAGAGGATAAACTGGAGCTACCTGGAAGCGTGTGCCATGGAGGCAGGCGGATGGATTTCTTCAGAAAGGTGAGCTCTGGGTGATAGAAACGAAACGTCTGATCCACCGTGTGGGGCTGGGATTCCACATTCACGCTGAGGATGGCCAGGGGCCTGCCGTTGCCCACCGTGAAGGAGACCTGAACGAGAAGAAGAGATCATAGAGCAGAGAAGCCACCTCGTTTTCAGGGCATGTAGACTTTTCTCGGAAAACTGACTCATGCCCCACTGGGAGTCAGGCGGCATATAAATTTAATAAATGATTATTATTAACATCAAAGAATCTGGTAGCTTGAACGCTGAAAAATCGGGATGCTGCTATGTAAATATATTCAGGGTTCTAGTCCTTATGATGAGGAAACTCCCTGAAATTGACACACACGGGCAATTTCAGCACAATGCCGGAACTTGCTCCCAGTCACTCATGCGTTGGTCCCTTCCCATTTGTAACGGAGTTGGGGTTGCTGCAATGCACTGAACCATAAACTAAGTGAATGGCCTGGATTTCCACTAAGCTACCCAAAGCGAACCAAAATTAACAGTCACCCAGCTGAGTCTAAATGAAGGCGCTGAAAGTGCTGTGTGAACGCATCTAAACCAGGCAGACGGGACAAGAGCGTTTTCACACCTCCAGGGAGCGTCCCATGTAGGAAAACAAGCCGCAGAAACTCAGTGGAGCCCAGATTAGGAAGGGCCTCCCTCACTTTTGCAACAGACCCATCAGGGGAGGGAAATGGGGGGGGGGGCATCAAAAGGCTTCTCACAGTGGAGCTGAGATTCCTTGCAGCCCCTGAATCTAGCACGTCCACCCTGATTCTAAGAGAGAAATGTGTGTCTTGGCTCCATGGGGGAAAAAAAAGGAGTGGCTTTGACTGTTATTAATTTATCCTCTCATAGGCCTCATCAGGGGTGCATATCCTACAGGAGTTGGGGCAGTGAGTTACATACCTGGGACGCCCCCTCCCCAAGCTTTTGCCCCCTGCATTCAGGCCTTCCCACGAATCGCCCAACACAGCAGGCCCACAAAAGTTTTCCAGCCTGTTCAGAATGCAAGGGATGATCTGTTCCCTCCTGCTGCGTTACCTTGATGCGCGTCGTCTGGGTGAGCTTTCCAGAGGCCACGGGGACCTTCTCGCCTTCCTTCAATGTCAGCTCAGGGGGACCCTGCTGGAAATCAAAGAGAAGACATGGCAGAGGTGTGAAAGGATCCCTCCAGCTTTACCCTTCCAACGCGGTTCCACAGCATTTAAAAGACAAAGGCTGACGGGAATAATCAGCAACTTTTTCTCTCCCCAGAACCAGGCAAAGGGGGACCGAAACAGCAGGGATGCGACGGAGACAGCTTAAAGACCTTTCTTGGAGAATCTGTTTGGGCAGACCGAGCATGCTGCAGAGTGCTGGAAGGCACAATGTTCACGGGAAGGGCTGTGGAACACTTTGGAGTGCATCTCCAAAATGCCATCGGCCACACGCAGGGAGTTAGCCAACCCTGAAAGTTTATACCTTATAATAAAACGTGCCAATCTTCAAAGGGGCTACAAGACTGTCCCTGATTTGGAGCACCCAGGAGTGTCAATTCAGCATCCGTTTATAACTCCAGAGAAGAACCTTGTCTCAGAAGGATCCTAGATAAAGGTGAGGCTGGTTTAAGGTGTTAGGGACAGGGGCTCTGTTCACACCACGAGGTGCTCCAAAGGGTCTGGTAGCCCCCCCTTTTTAAGACTAACAAATTATCCATCAGCTTTTGTGATTGGCTGATACAGACTTTCCTCCGACAAGAACTTGTTAGGGATGAAATCAGAGCCTACTAACCATTTATCGGTGTTTTTCATTGCCAGCTTGTGCTATTCTTGAGAAGATCCCCACTCCAGCCCAAAGCTTTATAACTGTATACCAGTCATTCCTCTTTCTGACTTCTTCAACAAGGACCAATCCCATGCAGTAAAAATAATCAAAGAAAGAGCTTCAATTAAAGCTGTTCCTTGCTTAATTACTTCTATGCAATGTTCTAATAATCCAGAATTACTCCACTGCATAAAACCAGGGCTGCGAGGAAGTTGGTCAGCGTTATTAGTCCAGACATCTAGTTTTATATGCCAAAGGGATAAAAAAGCTCCAGTTTGTCTTTGATTTGCAGGAGTTCCTTGCTTGAAGACCCATCAGGCACTGCTTCGTCCATGGCTGCGTTGATCCTTTTGATCAGCCTCCCGGCAAACGCCAGACTGCCTTCTGGAAGCCGTTCAAAATAAAGCTCCGATAACTTCATTGGGTTCTAATTTGGTTTTGTTAATTTAATTTTATTCCATGTTTTCATTAGTCCATGGCTCTTTTATCTGTATATTCTTATGGTGTATTGTGTCTTTTATCTTGTAAACCACCGAGAGTCCTTAGAGACCTGGCAGTCTCTAAATAGGATAAATGAGTAAATAAATAAACTGGGTATAAGACAGCTTCTTCTGTAACTGTCTTAATACCGCCACATCACTTTTTGTTTTCAAGTTGGCAGATCCTTGGGCATGGCTAATAGCAGTATACTTTATTGATTAGTCAATTGACCATATCGCCTGGGGCACAGAAGCCACCAAGCAAGCAGCAAACTTCCAAAGGAAAAACGTGGCAAGCCACAAGGGAGAAGGGGAGGCGAAATTGAATTGGGTGGGCTCTCCTTTTGGAAACAGAAAAGGGAACCTCAGTCATCTTGCTCCCGGTCATTCAGGAGGCTGAACCTGGAATGTGTGCCTGGAGGATACTGTTATTAGAGCCAACACTAAAAAGCGTGCAGGCTTTTTCTTAATTCTTCCAAAGTTTTCTCCCGGCAAACAGAGAGGACAGAGAAGAAGCGAGGAGGCCTCCGCTGGGCCAAACACCTGAGCTTCAAACTCTGTGGCAGTTGAAAGAGGCCCCGTCAGAGATCTTCACTGTGGACGTTCTGCTTGGCAGAAGCCAGATCCTTGGCTATTAAGCTCCCCTGGGGAAGTGGTGGGCTGAGACTTGTTTACAACCCCTTAATGCAACTCTTTTTCTGAAGAGTTGACTTGAGATGCTTCTAAGGTGACTTGAGGTGCTTCTAAGGTGACTTGAGATGCTCAACCCAGCCAGCCATTAAGCCAATCTCTGCTCCTACCATCAGATCCCATTTGCCAGCCCCACCCACTGCCTCCAGACTGGCCTAGGCAGTCATCAGGCCTTGCGCCAGCACAGGCTCCATTCCTTCCTGGGAGGCAGCACTGGAGATCATCCGGGCATTACAGCCATTTTCTTGGAGAGGGTGGTTCTCTGCTGCTAAGACCCATTACCAACTGCTCTACATTTCCAACCGATTTTCCTTATGCTAGCCAGGTCAGTGGGTTCACACGTACAGGATTAACCTGGCAAATTAACCCAGCCATAGGGCTGTCGGGTGACCAAATGTCTGCCAACTTGGGAGAAGGCAACAGGAAGCAAAAAGGAGGAATCGCTCCCGAATAATAGGCTGAAGGTCTCCAATAACCAAGGAGAGGAATTCATGGGTGCCTTGCCAGGCTAAATCCATTCTGTGGCCTTCCCTCTCTTCTACAGGCCCCCAACAATGTTGCGAAATCAAGCGGTGCAACCTTGAACCCACTTCTGCAGAAACTCTCCCTGTAGACCATGCTGGGTTTGTATCTCAGATGAATGGAAGACCAAGGGAAGGTTGATGGGTGAGATGCCCCGTGATCCAGAGTAAAGCAGGTTCATGAGCTGGCACTAGAGAAAAGGATGTCCTCCCAAGCGTGAAACTCGGAAGTTGCCTGGAAAAGCAGCAGAAGGATGGCCCCAAGGAAGCATCTGCTCCAACCTGGCTGTTTCAGATCAAGGAGAAGGAGGATCTGGGGCTCTAAGCTTGGCCTGTTCTCTTCTTTCTTCTGTACTGGCAAAGCTCTCCTACAGTTGCAAAGAAGATGCTTCCCTAAATATGCACAAGGGCATCTTAGCGCACGAAGCATGTCTCCCATTGTAAAGGAGAAACAAAAACCATCGTGTAGGTGAACTTGCATCCCGGTTTATAGGCATTCGGCTTTCTCGGCTACAATCTTAGATGGAAAAGCAAGGCGTGAAGGGGTCCCTACCTGCATCATGGCCATCTGCTCCAAGGAGAAGGCCTGGTATTTGAAGGGGATGTAGACTGTCTCCTTGGGACGCAGGTAGACCTGAGGAATGAGGCCATCGTAGAGATGGAACATGTCCTCCTCCAACGGTGTGACTGTTTGGGTCAGTTCTTTAAAATGCCTCCACTCTCTGACATCCAAGATGACGCTGGGAGAAGAACAAGGACCATTTTAAAAAAGACAACAAGACTCAGAGATGGTTGCTTTTGGGAGAGGGCATCTCCACAAGTCCCTTGGGTCACCTTCTGCCTCTCTTGCTCAAGGGTGGGGAAACTGCAGATGTAGCTAAGCTCCAACTCCTGCTGTCCCTTGGCCCTGCAGGCTGCAGATGAACAATATCTGAATGGCTGCCTCCTTCAATCACTGCTGTAGCTAGAGAATAAAACTGGGTTGGCTTGCCCCGGGAATACTGGATGAAGAGTGACGATGGGTGGCAGACACTGTTGAGCCTGGGCCCTTCTGTGGCATTTTGGTGGTGCCTTCCTTCCTACCCTTGGCATAGCTTTTTTCCTCTTTAAAACCCAGCTTCCTTTCTCCCCAAAGGATCCATGCAAAGGATAACAATTCTTCTCAGTTGGCAGGAAAGTTCCTCCACCCCTGACCTCTCATTCTTACCTGAGCTCCGGGTTGTCTATTTTGATGGTGACCGTGTGCTGGACACTGTATGGATTTTTCAGGGCAAACTCAAAGAACTCAGCTGTGCCCAATGTGGCATAAATGGTGTGGTGGGTTGTGATGGCTTGGCAGAGCATGGAGGTGATGCTCTCGGCTTTGGTGCGCTCCCGGTAAGCCTCAATGAGCTGGAGGTCTCTCGAGTGCTGAACCCGGTCCTCGTGCCGTCCCTGGGGGAAAAGAATGGGGTAAGGTGATTGCCTCTAGAAATGGTGGGGTGGGACGTCCTCTGCTTCAGTTAGAAGACATATCTAATTTAAATCAAATGTAGTGCTCTCTTCTATATCTCAGCAGGAAGGGTTTCTTAAGGCTCCCTGCTAGAGCTAGGAGTTTACCCCCTTGGTGGGAATCCTTATATGCTTGCTCTGCCCCTCAGCTTGCTCTCAACCTCTGTCAACCCTTGGAGGTAGTCCAGACAAGAAATTAGTGCTAACACTAATGTTATTTTAGTACTATTTTAAGGTTACAGTAACAGAATCTTGCAAATCTGAAAGCGCTTCTCCTCTCCTCTGCCATTACTTCCCAGAGAACTAGGGAGGGTCCCCTCTGAGACGTTTCCCACAGCCCCATTCCTTCTGCGGGCTGAGATGTCTCTTGTCTGACCGTTGTTTAGGCTGCAGCTCCTCCTCCTCCTGTCTCCCAAGCTTATTCTCACAGCCCACTGTAACCTCTGGCTGTGTTGCCCTGAGAAAGCCAGTGTGAGTTGGAAAGGGCTGCTCCAGTGGGACCACAGCCTGCCCAAACTAAGACACAGCGTGTATCAGATTGCAACGTCTCTCACCAGGATGAAGCTGCTTTTCTTCCCGCAGTTGCCCTCTTGGGACTCCTTCCTCCTCACAGAAAGCATCCTCTCCAGCTTCCGCCGTCGGGTGATGCTGGCCTCATGGCTGGCCTGCTGGAAGGCTGCGCTAACTTCACGCAAGCGGGAGAAAAGCATAGCAGCCAACTCACTGTCCACATCAGCCAGTTTTTGGGCTTGGCACACATTTCCGGCTAGAAGACACACACAAAGGCGGATCAAGAGGTGGCAATGAACCCAACGTGCCAGAAACCCAAATAAGGCCAATCAGTGATGGTTTCTGCCTTGGGCAATTACCGTGGCTAGGGTAATTCCACCGTAACGATTTGCAGGGCTTCAAGGCAAGTGCTGGCAATGTCTAATTCGGTCCCTGGAGAGGCCGGTTTAAAAGTTCTCATTAGAGCAAGAGCAGAAGGTTTGGAGAAACAGGGCAGCTACAGTGGAACTGGGCCAGCTAAATCTGTGGTCTGGCTCAGTTGCAGGCGCTGAGTATCCATGTTCCACTGTTGGGGAGCAGGGCAAAAGGGGATCTTTGATAACACCACAGTTCTGTGCCATTTCCAGTTCCATGCAGAAGTTTCTGATCCGAAGAGGAATGTTAGATCAAAACTCACTGGCACAGAATGAGAAACTCAGGGCCGTTTGTCGGTTAGCTGCCCTTCAATTGATTCCACGTTCACGCCGCTCTCCCCCAGCACTGGCAAATTGGCCAAAGTCGCTTTTACAAGCCACACGCACAAAAGGAGTTCATATATTAAAGCTTGGAAAAACATCTGAAGTCGACTCAGACTTGAAGGGGCTCAAAGGCCTGCCTCAAGCACCTCTTTGCTTCTCTTCTATATTCTATATTCTATGTACCTCTTCTATTTTCTTTTCTATTGGAACCCTTTGCTATATTCTATATTCTATATATCTCTCTTTTATTCTCCTCTATTGGATCCCTCTGCTTCTATCTGGCAGGATTTGCAGAACACTCAACAAGGCAAAAAGGGGGATTACGCTGTTAACTGTAATTGGTGAGAATCCAGCTGCCACGTTAAACCGTAACTTCATTTACATCTATGGGCACAGCATGTTATGCGGAGAAAGCATTTGCGGGTCACTAAGCTTCAGCATTTTGTATGTTTTTAGCTTCATCCAAACAGACAGAGCTTCAGAAAGTAGTTGAATGCAAGGCCGTGTTTCAATCCTGGAATATTCTGATGTTCCCTGTTCTGGTTTTTTTTTCCTGGCGTGGGTCAATCCAGTGGCTTCAAAGACAGCCTGCAGTTTTCCAGAGTGGTTCACGATGAACCACCTCCAGAACTGGTGCACTGCAGAAAGAAAACGGAACGTGCCACGAGCAGAATGCAGAGCTTCGCACATCTGGTTGCACATCTGCAACCATTTCATTTTGGAAATGTCTCTGTAAGGCGGGATACTGATTGGCCAGGTCCCATCGAGCGTAAGCTAAGAGTGGCTGCTGATAACTTTCTACATTTCCTTCGATCAACGAGCCTTTTCCTGCTCAGGCAAACTCTTGCCTTCCAACTTTTCAATTTCGGCCAGCCAAGCAAGAATAACTAATCCTGGATTATTCACTGGCTCGAAAGAGGTGAACGTGATAAGCCACAATGATTGAGCCCCATAGGAAGACAAAGCTATTCACCAAACTGATACTTGGCCATCTTGAAAGCAACTCCATGCGGGAAAGAAAACTTGACAGTTTCCGGGCCACTTTAATTCTGCCCACCACTGGGAAAATTTGGATCTGGCGTTAAGGGCAAAATGTTTTCTTTTGTGTTACCTAAAAACAATGCACTGAATTGTTTCCCAACTTCTTTTGGAAATAAGAAGGTCTCTCCTCGTTCTAAGCCCGTCTGTTCATGGAGAACAGAGAAAATTGAGGGGAAAAAGGGAAGGCTATCAAGCCCTTGGTTCTGGACCAGTCTTTGCCGCTAGCGTCCTCCAGATGGGTGGGGACTGCCAGTCCCAGGATCCCCAGCCAGGATGGCGTACAAATGCCCTACAATGGGGAAACTTGGCATCTGCTTTTGGCACATCCTTGGCAGGAAATGAGAAGACGGCGCTGTAGGTGGAGCAAGGCACCTCTGCTGGGGCCTGCCACCAGATTTTTTTTTTCATTTTATTTTTATTTAAAAAAAAAAAACCCAAAAAACTGTGGTGTAATACAGCACAGCTCCAGCCTCTGGCACTATCTTTATTTCTCAGAATAGAGTCTCCAGTCTTCAGCAAGGCCCCTTTACACTTTCTCAGAAAGGAACTGTGGGCACCCATCCAGGGAACGAAAAAGAAGGACGTTGGGGAGACATCTCTCTACTGAACGTGGGTTCATCATCTGCCTGCAAATCTAGATAAGCTCAACAATCTTGCAATGCCCTTCTATTGCCTACCCACCTCCGTCCCCCCCACAAAAATCAAGCACAAACCGACCTACCCCTGTGAGCGTTGAGGGAGAGCAAGCTGCCGCCTGGGAAGCCTCTGGCTCCGTCGTGCGAGGAGATGACCCGCGTGCGAGAGGGGGGCAAGGAGCGTGACCTCCGCAGCCCCTGTTCACACCGGTGGCCTGCAAGGGAAGCAAAGCGGAAACTGAGGGCGGGTATGGGATCCCCATTAGTAGGGCTCACCCTTAACATGTTTAGGGATGGCAGAGCAGGGGCTGGACTAAGTTATCTGAGCTTCTTCCATTTGGGGGACGGGGAAGGGAAGGGTCGGTGGCCTTCTCCCACTTTCAAACTAAGCCGAACCTATTCTGAAGTCAATTCTCCTCTGGGTTTCACAGGCGCACCTACGTAGCTTTCTTGGCTCCCCTACAGAGCCTGTAGCTCCCTCAAGGTCTCCCCTCCAAGAACGAGCCAGGGCTATTCCTCCTTAGCTCCTGGAGCCAGATGAGGTTGGCCACCCGCAGAGACTTCACCCTATGGGTCTATTTCTCAACAAGAGCTTCTCGTCTCCAGGAACGGTGAGAACAATGTTCATGGAGATGGCTTAGGGTAAGGGCAGATCCTGAGATTGTTGGGAGGAGCACGGAAGGACAGGGGCAGGAAGAATTTGGAAAGGTTCTAGGGATTTCGCTGGAACCCAGTCCCAACTCCAGGGAAAGTCAATGTTTGGTTTGGTACTAACAAGAGCTAACATTCAAGTGGGACTTATGCTCTTACAGAGGACAGAACACAGCCCCAGCACAGGGGCCTTCAAGAGAAAGCAAGACATGACAGGAAGGGCTGATTAAAGAAACAGCGATGGGACCTCCAGGGTGTCTTAGAATCACAGTATCACAGATTCCAAGGGACCGTGGAGGTCTTCTGGTCTAACCCCTGCCCAGGGCAGGAATCCTCAAACCACCCCAGACAAATGGATGTCCAACTTTGGCTCAAAACCCTCCAGTGATGGAGCTCCATTACTCCAGAAGGGAGGCTGTTCCAGTGCTTAATAGCTATTACGGCGAGGAAATTCATATTTCAAGTTTTGATCTGCCTTGGTAAAGCTTTGAAACACTAGTTCTTGTCTTACCCTTGGGGGCTATGAATAGAGCCATATCTTCTTCCCTGTGACAGCCTTGCACAGATTGGAAGACTACTATCATGTCTCCCCTTAGCCTTCTATTCTTTAGGCTAAATGTACCCAGTTCTTCATTAAGATTGATCTTCCAAGACCTTCACCACCTCTGTTGCTCTTCTCTACACTCTTTAGGGCAAAGAGGACAGAGACGTACACTGGCTCCTAACAGCATACAATGGAGAAGGCTTCTCCTGCCCCAAGTTGTGTACTTAAGTGCCTCGCAGATTGCATTATGTTTGTGCATTGTCTCATACCAGATGCTTCATACATAGAACTTGACAGCAGCGGTACAAACCAAACCAGTTTCTCTTTGCATAACCCGAACCTGATGCTGGCCACACTGGAGTCTGGTGGAAGGTGAGGGGTGACTCTTCAGGATGGAAACATAATTAGACAATCTGTGTCCTGCCCCAGAAACATCAACAGCATTTCACAAAGCTCACAGTCTTGACAACTGTTGGACAGGAGACTTTCAAGATGACATCATACGAAGTATGATTTGGGAGAAATCCCCCTCTCCTCTGGTGGTTTCTCTGCCCATCTCTCGCTTCCTCTTCTTGGAAAATATCTTCAAGCCTCAGGCTAGCTTCCTTTTTGACGAGAAGATAGAGAAAACAAAGACATCTTCTCTTCATTAATAATAAAGGTGATGGAGCAACCCAGATTCATCTCTCCATCAAGGACACAGAGAGAGCTGATGGAAACTTTTGACACTACCCACAATGGAGGAAGGGTTGGTGAAGATGATGCAACTTGCTTGAGATGGCTAAATTGACTTCTTTGTTCAGAGAAAAGACAATATCTACATTTACTGCTGACTGGAAACCCCTTATAGACTTTTTGCGTGAAACAGAAAAAAATGAACTTATGATTTATGGTTTTGATGATTAGACAGGACAGATTATAGAAAGAAGAGAGCTATGTAACCAAAGAGTAAGAGGTAAATTTAGAATTGTACTCATAACTGCTGTAAAGAAGATCGGAAGCTACTTCTTTATATCTTATGTCTATTTTTCTTTTCCTTTTTTCCCTTTCTTGCACTTTTAGCTTTTTCTTTGATTTCTCTTTTTTTCTTACTTCATATTCATTTGTTTTAGTGGGGGGGGTTTTAGTTCTAAAGGATTTAACAAGTTGTTTCTCAGGTGTCTCGGAAACTGAAATGCTGCTGGTCCAAACAATGTTGTTAACAAATGTTGTAGCTGTAAATATTGCCATTGGGTTACATCTGATAGATGGCATTTCTCTCTTAACACGGAGTACGTTAAAAATTCATCTTCATCATCTATCCATTGGTCCAGAGTCAATATCCCTGCTTCCAACGTTTTCACATCACCATCTTTTTCCCAATGCTTAATGTTGGGTTCCCCCATAGAGTCAATTTAGCGTGGGAAAAAGGATCGAGTCTTTTTTTATAAGCCATTCCATTCCATAGCTTTCTAACCGACATAACCGTTTCCAAAGATATTAGGAGTTCTGTTACTGCCCACCCAACCAAGGGCGCTATGTATGTATATTCCAAAAAATAAATAAATAAAAGGACCACGCAGGGAGTTGTGTGCGTAAAAACTTCTGCAAGGGCACTGCAGGGTCTTGCGCTGCCAAAAACACAGTGCCCTCAAATGGCTCCCCCCTCACTCTTCTTTGCAGCGGCCATCGTCTTTTCTTGTTTCGTATCTTTTTGACACCGAAGCGGACCCCAGCAGGATCACCTTCGACTTTCGGAAATAAACACCTTGATGCATAATAGGTTTATCCAGTCCCTTCACAACACTGATAGTTCTTTTGATCTCTTCCTCAACCTGCAAGCCAAAACGCCTCCCCTCCCCCCACTTCTTAAAAAAGGCTTACAGCCTTTTCAGAGCAGAGACAGTATCAAAGGAGACACCTACGGCTTTTGGCATCTGAGAGCCTTTGATTTACAGTGTGGAAGGAGGACAGATTCCTTCCAAAAAGATGTTTTCATTGCCAGATGTTGTGAAGGCAGCTTCAAAGGTCTAGCCAAGGAGGGCTTCTTCTAGATCCTCATTCTTGCTCCCCAGGAGCAAGCAAATTTGCCTCTTCTGGTGGGGTTTCCTCAAGAACAGGGCAGCCACGCTGTCCCATTCTCAGGGCTCCTGAATGATGAAAACATTCGTTCATTATTAGGGGATGGGGTGTCAATGAGGGTTGAACGCCTCCCTGGGTCAACCCTGGGCATCTCCAGTGAGAGCTGGAGATGGTTCGTGCTGCTTCTTCAGGGCTGCACGGCCACAAGGATGATGAGAAGGTGCTACAAGGCAGGGCACCTCCTTCTCCTTTCCCCCCCCCCAAACCAGAGCTTGGGAGAGGAGCCAGAAGTCTGGACTCTGTCAGAAGTCTGAACTGATTGCTGAAAGAAAGGTTAGGAAGCCAAGAATTCTTCCAAAGCTGGCCTGGGTTCAAACACCCTCCGGTGGCAAAGCAGAGGGAGCCCTATCCAGCCACCAAGGACACTGTCAGCCAGAAGAGACAAGACTGAGCTACGGAAACTGACGGTCGGTCTCAGCGGTGTCTCATCCCCAGGAAGTATCTCCAGACATGGTGAACCATGGTCCAGGTATCAGAGAAGATCCCGTATCTCCTGCTGTTCTATTTTTCATAAGAGGTCACCAAACACCATCTCCAAAGTTGATAGGAATCTGGCAAGTAGAAGCTGCTTTTAAGGTGTTTAAATCTAGAGCCACTTAATGCTTTCAATATTAATGTGTCAGCCTGAGAACTGCTGGCTCAGCCCCACAGGGTTTCAGAACTGCTAGTCTTCCACCCTAGCATGGAAATCAGCCAAGAACAGCTCCATAGTGCCAACCAGCTGCACATGACTATCTGTGGAGTTTTCTTGCTAATATAGAAGTGGTTTCCTCCTGCCGCATTCTGGGATGATTTTCAACTTCCCAATCTCCCAAGCTGGTGTCTTCCAGATGTGTTGCATCCCCAGCTGGAATTGAGGGCAGTGATCAACCTAACCAACGGGGGAGCACTGGCTGGGGACAGTCTGGGTAATGCTGTTCAATCATTGGGACGGTATTAAATGACAAGCTCTGCTCAAACTTCTGTGAACTTCTCCACATTGAGTAAAGCAGTCAGCAAATGTCTCCTCGAACCGGTCTCCAAACCTCATGAGGCCAGGAACCTTGCTTTCTTGGGGTTCCTGATCATGAAAAGCCTCAGGGAGCTGTAACTCTGAAGGCCTCTCAAGTCCAGATGAAGAAGCTGAGCACTTGAAAGATGGGGAAGGCACACCAGCAGGGAAGAGAGGACTATGGTGGCTCTGACTCTCTGGCGTGTTCTGTCACCCTATTCAGACACTGGACATGCATAAGCCAGGTGAGATCAAAGACTCAGGAACCAAGCAAAAGAACCAGAGGGGGGTGCACATTTGAAATTCTGAGAGCTGTGTGATTTGATGGGCCCTGTTTCCCAGAAGAACTGTCTCCCCCAGTTGTTGTTTAGTCGTTAAGTCGTGTCCGACTCTTCGTGACCCCATGAACCATATTGC